GATTGCATTCAGGACCAGCTGACTGAGGAGGTGATGTTTTCAGAGAGAAAGGGGACGATGGAAGGGCGTGAAGACCGAACTTCCAGGCAGGCAGAAGAGCCTATACAAAGATGGGATAGGAACACACAGTATCCATACTGAGGGACCAGAAGGAGGTCAGCATGACTCCGGCAGAATTAAAATAGCAGGTGAAGTGGAGGGGTCAGATCCATCCGGTAGCTTTGGCTGGCCTGGGATCTTCTGATCTGTTGTGGAAATCGAGAATTCTATCTCATGGGGACTTTGATTTACCAGCCCACATGCTGTCAACTGGGGCAGCTGGGGCCTGGGATCTCCCAGGAGAAAAACTCACTGGAGAACCTGGTCTGGCTGGCAGGGTCCTTAGCCTCACACACAATGACAGATGTCACACGTCAGCACTAGAATCCTCACCTAGTGCAGGTTTTATCAGCTCCTCTCTAATTGCCTTTGAGCCTTAAAAAAAGAGCTGTAATTTTCTCCACCTTCCAGTCTGGGCTGAAAGAACGAAGGGGGTGGGTAGCCTTTGTTAGACTGTGAGGGAGAGCCAGCAGATGTGAACTCGGAGTACAGGTCTTTGCCAATGGGCCGAGGTCACCCCCACCCCACCCTGCTCTCCAAGCCTGTTTCCTTACTGCAGTGTGAAGTGGCTTCTCCCTAAGGCTGGGTCCAACTCTGCTGCTGTGTGAGGTCATGGATCCCTCTTGACAGCAGGAGGGAGGCTTTCTCCTCTGGCGTGGTCACATATGGAGCTCAGATTGTGTCCCTGATTCGCTCTGCTAGGTGAGATGGGGTTAATCTTGACGTAGACCGGAGTGTAGAATTCAAAATTTTGTATGTATGTGTTTGTGGGCATGTTTGTGTGTGTGCAGGTATATGCCTGTGGTGTGTGCCTTTGTGTGTATACAAGTGGAAGACGGGATAACTGCCTACCTTATTTTTTGAGACAGAGCTTCTCACTGAACCTGTAACTCATCCATTAGGCTAGGTTGTTTGGTCCGTGAGTCCTGGGGACCCACCTGTCTCCATCCTTTTCCTTGGCACTGGGGTGATGAGGGCATACCACAATGCCCGGATTTTTCATGTGGGTTCTGAGGGTGGAAACCAGGTCCTCCTGCTTGCAAGAGGAACACACCAGAGACTGAGCTACCACCTAGCCGAAGCATGCTTTCAGCATCTAGAATCTGCCAAGTGCTTGGATTCCTCTACCAGCTGTTTGTCCTGCCAAGCTAAGGTGTTGTTTTTCACACTTTGGGACCAATGAAGTTGGAAAATTAGAGTCTGTCCATTATTAGCTCTTCACAAAGGCACGCCACTCACGGGGACTGATCAACAGCCACTGTCACATGCCATCTGAAAGGCAAGAGGCATTTGAGGGCAGGTGAGGTGGCTTCTTGTAAGATGTCCTTCAGCATGGGTCAGGCACTGCCCTAGTTTGATTTCTGTTGCTCTGATAAAACACCTTGACCAAAAGTAACTTAGGGGAGAAAGGGTCTATTGGCTTGTCATTCTGGGTCACATCACAGTCCACCACTGAGGGAAGTCAAGAGAGGAACTCGAGCAGGAATCACACATAGAAGAAGGCTCTGTTGGTTATCTTGCTTTTTTCTCTTCTCTTCCATCTCCATCTCTTTCTCTTCCCTCTCTCCCTATCCATGAACACACACACACACACACACACACACACACACACACACACACTTGATCTGGGCAGTTTCTCAGTTGAGGTTCCCTCTTGTGGCTCTAGGTTGTATCAAGTTGACAATAAATTGAATATGCACAGAGGCTTGAGCGGTTTGGTGGTTGATAGCGAGCGCAGACAGCTCCCAGAGGACCGGGGTTCAGTCCCCTTGCACCTGTGTGGTGACTTACAGATGTCTATAACTCCAGTTCCAGGGGATCCAACGCCTTCTCAGGCCCCTGCAGGCACTAGGCACAGATGTATATATGCATAGAGCAAAACCTAACCAAACCAAACCGAAACCAAAACAACAAACAGTTGAGGGGCACAGACACTATCTAAGACCATTTGGGCCACTGCCACAGAGTACCATGGACTAGGGTTCCATCTCCAAGCAATGCTTGCTTCTTATAGTCCTGGAGATGGGGAAGGCAAGACACTAGCAGACAGATGTTGTCTTCTTGCCTTGTCTCCACACAAGGGAGTTTTCTGAGGTCTCTTCATAAGAAGGTCACTACTCCTGTTTGTGGTGGTAATCCTGATTGTCACCTTGGCAGCATCTACAACAGTGGTTCTCAACTTCCCTAATGCTGTAGCCACTGAATACAGTTCCTCATGTTGCGGTGACCCCCAGCCATAAATTTTCCTTGCTACTTCATAATTATAATTTTGCTGTTGTTATGAATCATAATGTAAATATCTGTTTTCCGATGGTCTTAGGTGAGCCCTGTGAAAGGGTCATTTGTCATTTGACCCCAAAGGAGGCATGACCCACAGGTTGAGAACCACTGATCTAGACTCACATTGGAGACAAGCTTCCAGGCACACCTGTGAGGGATTACTTAGATTTTTTTTTTTGCCCTTCATGAGGGATTCTCATGATTAGACTCTTCTTTCTGCGGCAGACTGTTGATGGACCCACTCCTGTGCAGGTGATGACAGCTCCTGAGAGGGCTGTGTGGGTCCTGACTAGGGAGTCTCAGCCTGTGACCCAACATCCTAGGTGGCTTACCAACGATGGAGATTTACTACTCACGCTTCTGGGACTGGAAATCCAAGGATCATGGTACCGATCCTTGGTGCTAAAGCATTGGCGTCCTGTGAGGACTTGCTTCCTGGTTCAAAGGTGGCTGACCTTTCTGTGTCCTCATGTGGACAGGTATTAAGAGGTGACAGTTCTGTGAGACGGGTTATTTGAAAATAGTTATAAGTTTGAAAATGTTTTAGCTCTGTGTTCCATGTATGTAGATATAGGTTTGTATGTGTATGTGTTCATATGTGTGCGTGTGTGTGTGTGTGTGTGTGTGTGTGTGTGTGTGATTGGTCTGGGCCTGTTGATTAGATCAATCTTTCTGGAAAGTGATCCTCAGGAATCCAGTCATCTAGGCCTGGGATTGCACCATACCTGGCTTGTTTTATGTTGGTTCTGGAGATCAAACTCAGACCATCCACTTGAGGGGACAACATTTTCCCAACTGAGACACCCCTCCACCCGTGGACACTTCAGATCCATGAAGAATCTATGAGCAGAAGGTTCATTTCCTCCATCCAGGGTCCCCATGTCATCATCTCACAACCCCAATGTGTCCTCCCCACGATGGGCTCATAACACTATAGACAAAGTTATGGATGCAGTGTTAATTTCCCAGCTTTTCCGCTGATGCTTTTAGCCCCTGAACCTACCCTCAAATGCCAGGCTAGATTTAATTACCAAACCTCCCAGTGTTCAGTCGGTGACAGGTTCCAGATGTACCTTTGGTATATGAGGAATGAAGGTCAGGTGTTTTCAAAGCGATATTTTAGTTTAGGATTGCTTGATAGTCTCCGCATTAAATGGAGGCCATGGATTTGGGGTGAGTCACGACAGAGGCACGGTCCTATCCCCTCAGAGAACGTGTGACACAGCTTATGTTAGCCTCAATTACTCGGCCGGGTGGAGTCTGGTGGATTTAAGCCCTCTAGTGCTACCATTCCCCCATTTCTCTAATTTTTATTGCATTTTAAACTTAGTGTGTGTGTGTGTATGTGTGTGTGTGTGTGTGTGTGTGCGCGCATGCGTGTGCACTCGAGTGTGCGTGTATACTTGCCACAGCATGGGTGGAGGGCCATGAACAACCTTGGCACATCGGTTCTCTCCTTTTACCACATGGGCCCCAGGGATTGAGCTCATGCCAGCAGGCCTGGCAGCAAGCATCTTCACCCACCGAGCCATCTCAACTGCCTTGGTTTCCCTTCCCTTTGTTGGAACTACTAGTTTTGAGGCTCTAAGTCCAGCCCAGATTCGAGGAGAGCTGGTGATCCTGGGGTAGTTGGTCTTCCTAGGAGGAAGAGATAAGAATTTGCGGGCACATACAGTCAAAACTGCTACTGTCAATGGTGCAAGATTATGGGGAGGGGGCCGAGATGCTTTCACATTGTACAGAAACCCCAAGTCCAGAGAGTGATTTTTTTTTTAAATGATGTAGTTTAGTTTCAGTCCTGGCAAGGCAAACTGTCTCCTTTGTCCCTGCGTCTGTCACTAGGATAGCAATTTTATTAATAAACTGCTTAAGGATGATCCTATTTCTCTCTAAATATCTGCTACCGTGCTGAATTTCTGCTGGCAGTTGCATTTTAATCCGGGAGAACCTGGAGGCTCTGTCTCAGGGGAGCAAGGCGTGGGAGCTCAAAGGGGATCTCAAGGGGCCTGATGTCAGGAGACAGCAATGAAGACGCCAGCCTTGAACATGTGACTCACCCATTTGCTTGCAAACGTTAATGCAGCACCTACAGGAAGTGTGAAAAATCACGTCAACAGTGGACTATTTTTAGGCACCATTTTTTCCCACCTTGAAGATTATCTTTGAAATCTCAATTGTGTGAATGAAAAAAAAACCACATAGGGTTTTAAGTATCTCTAGATAGAAATGATCCTGTGGCTAAACCAGTTTGTTCTGTGAGAAAGGGTTCTTGGGCAATGACGTGGTCCCCAAATTCTCAATTGCCTGCTTTGTGAATTATCTAGAGAATACTACTTAGACATCATTCCTGGCATTATAACCAATCCTGTTAACAATCAATGATTGCTGTGTGTTCTAGCAGAATAGCAAGAAGGGGGAATACATAATGGCTTTGTAAATATTAGTCTGGCTATTTTTAATAATCCTTTCTCAACTCCAGGCACACAGGTGACCACCTGCAGTATACTGCCACCTGGTGGCAGCGTGTCTGACCGCTCCCTTATACTTTACACAACGCTGGTGGGGAAGATGCCTGCACTAGCAAGAGATGACTTGTCAAAATCTGGAATGCTCTCTTCTAGGATGACTTCCTGTTCAGTGTCTCCATTTTAAGTGGCATCCTCTGCAGCGTCCTGGCTGTGCTGAAGTTTATGCTGGGGAAGGTCCTCACAAGCAGGGCTCTCATCACGGACGGTGAGTAGTGCAGGCGTTTCTTGCCCGAGGGCTGAGCGCTGAGCCAGGGCAGGGGCATCTGGATGCTGGCAGATGCTGGTCTTGCAAGTGAATCTGACAACTCGGGGATCCATTTACCACCAGCCCTATTCCCCAGACTTCTTACTTTGTGATTCTTGGAACTCTCATGCCAAAGCAGGCGTCTACTACCCTAAGTTTAATCATATAAAACAGAGCAGAAATGACTGGGTTTCTTTTTTTCTTTCTTTTTTTTCTTTTTTTTTGTTTTTCAAGACAGGGTTTCTCTGTAGCTTTGGAGCCTGTCCTGAGATTAGTTCTTGTAGACCAGGCTGGTCTCAAACTCCACAGAGATGCACCTGCCTCTGCCTTTCCAATGCTGGCATTAAAGGTGTGTGCCACCACCACCCGGCAGGACTGGGTTTCTTTTGGTTTCCTGAGATGGGGTCTTGTATGGAGCTCAGGTTGGCCTTGGACTTTCCTTTCTCCTATTCAGCCTCCCATGTATGGGGATTACAGATGTGTCCCACTATACCTGGCCTTTTATTTTCTTAAGGAAAGAAATAAAGCTAGGGATATAACCAGTTCATAGAGTGCTTGCCTAGCATGCACAAGGCTTGGGGGTTTGAGTCTCAGTAGGGTATTGTCTGGTGTAGTGGTGCATACCAGGCATCCAGCACTAGAGACATGGGGGCAGGGGGACCATAAGTTCAAGGTTACCCTTTGCTCCATAGTAAGTTCAAGGCCAGCACAGGCTACATGAGACCTTGCCTCAAAAAGCAAACAAGACATCAGTCAAGTTTCTTTAAACTGGAAGGATTGTAGGCTGAGACTGTCTTTCTCTGAGGAATGTATCTGTGGTCCAGGTTCTTAAAGCAGAAGAAAATAGAGCCTGGTGGGGTCTTGGTCTCTCTAAGCTGTGGATTCTGTGTTTCACCACCTGGTGCCTGGGGTGGGGGCGGGTCCCAGAGTAGTCAGAACAGCCTGCTCAGCTCCTAGGATGGGGACAGCACAGGCAATCCCACGGTCATTTCCAAGGTAGACCTATCAGTCCCCCGGCTCTGCTGGCTTGCAGAGGCCTGGGGTATGTTTGCCTTCTGCTGTCCCCACCTGCGCTGCGGTGAAGCCTGAAGCCTGAGCATGGACTCAGCAGTCAGAGCCACCACCAGACCTGTCCACGATCACAAAGACCACCTATGGCTGTGACAAACACCCCAATCAATTCAGCTTAGGGGGAAAGAGTTTATTTGGCTCATACTCCCAGGTCCCATCCCATCATTTCCAGGTAATCAAGAAAGGGATTTGAAGGAGTTCATCACATCCACAGTAGAGGGCAGAAAGAATGAATGTGTGCTTGCTTGTTAGCGATTGGCTAGCTTTTCCACTCAGCTATAGCCCAATGCCCAAATTCAGGGGCCGGTGCTGCCCCCTTCAGGATTATTCCCACAGCAATTAAGTCAATAGGGACAATTCTCCAAACCCACAGGCCAACCTGACCTAGACAATCCCTCATTGAGACTCTCCCACCCCTTGATGCTTGACTGCGTCAAGTTGACAACGACCATCATTAGAGTATGACGTCATGTCTCTGCACTGATGGGCCTCGTGCCTGTGTGAGTGGTTTTCCCTTAGCCTCAGAGCTGTTCCATACTCAGAACTGTGCTTAGGCTTCCCTCAGCTTCCGACTTCCCACTACTGTACTGAGTGTCTTGCTGTGTTGCCCCTACACGGAGAGGCCGAAGGACCGTCGTGATCGTTGTTCCTCAGTCACTGTCCTCCTTGGCTTGGGAGACATGGTCTCTTATCAAGTAGACCAGACAACCAGACAGGCTGGCAGTGAGCCCCGGGCACCTCTCTCTTTCTCCGCAGAGCTGGAATTACACATGCATGCCACAATGCCTGTTTTTTGTTGTTGTTGTTGTTGTTTTTTGTTGTTTTTTTTTGGTTTGTTTTGTTTTACATCAATTCTGGGGAATAGAACTCAAGTCTCCATTTATGGCCCGAGCTATCTCCTCTGCTTCCTCTGAGCTTGATTTTCTACCTAAGCAGACATGTCCGTCATGCTCCAGCTGGAGGGGAAACTCCAAAGAAAAGTCAGTAGGTGGAGCGAAAATATTTGTTCTCCAGTGGATGATTGCTGATTGGCTTCCACCAGGAAAAGGAGTTCCTACCAGCTGGAAAGGGGCTCTGGAAGTTAGTGGGGGCAGATCCCAGGGAATGACTGTTCCCTGGGCAGAAAGACAGAAGTGTGGCTATCTTATCAAATATTTAAGTAGTTGGAAGACATGACTGATGCATTCTCAAGGACCTTCTGGGTGTCTTGAGTGGGGAGAAGAAGGGAGGGAGGTGGCCACTGAAGTGGGGACAGGGTTCTGGGGAGGCAAGGAGGTGGCCGCAAGGAATGGCTAGAGAGGATGACTCGCCATGAATAATGGCAGTAGACCCCTGCTCCTACAAGGGGGTGTCTCTGGCAGATGGAGCTATAGTAATTAAGCCATCTCCTCATTGTGCAATCCAGAATCTGGGCTCCAATTGTTCATTGATAAGGCTTAGGGAGCTACCTGCAACCCTCTCCTCTCTTTTGGGAAGGGTGGAGTCAGGGTTGAGGACCCCTGGCTATTCTTATTGTTGGGGGTCCATTTGTCAGTTATGAGAAGACAATATACTGCTCCATTCTGCCACCCTCAGTAGCCTGAGGCATTCTCAGACGTTTAGGGACTTTAGTCTCAGCCACTTGGGATTGATGGCTTTGACGCTGAAAAGAATTTCAGAAGTAGCTGGTGTAAAAAAGTGGACTTGGCTGGCTTATTAAAGGTATTCTAATATAGTCTTCCATGAAGGTGCTCAGAAGACAGTAGACACAGCCACACAGGGGGGGTGCCTCTCAGGGGAGAATACGGGAAGTAAGATGTACCCCAGTGTGGGTGTGAAGTCCTCAGGGCACAGCAAGTGATTAACTGTCATAACATTAGCCATATAGACCCTTCTGGTGTTTCTCAAGTTCCATCTCAAGGTTGCTAAGCACACACACACACACACACACACACACACACACACACACACACACACACAATTTTCCTTCTCTTATCCAACCTTCTGGAGATGTCTTGGATGGGACGATATCTTGATAAGGGGAAGTTAGGAGCCATGAGGTGACACAGAGGGTTAGTACATGCTCTTTCCCTGAAATGGGCTTTCTGGTGAGATTCCCAGAAAATTCCAGCCTTGTGGCCAAGAAGGGAGAGAAGCCTTAAGCAGCTGTCAACTACCAGGAGATTCTTGCTTGTCTGCTGGTGAATGGCCCTAGCCAGATGCCTGGGGAGGAGCTTCTTTCTCTTTTCAAGCTCCCCCTACCCCGCTAAACTTTCCCTACATTTCTGTCTTGCCTCGCTTTGATGCATGCCTTGCAGCTGTTCCTCTGGTTGAGGCAGAGCCAAGAATCTTCTCTCCCAACAGAGACCAGAAGTGACATTCTAGAACCCTTATCCTATGAGCTAGATAGCCCCTGACTTGTTCCCATGATGTCAATGCATCCTGAACTGAAGCCCTGTGGGAGCTGGGCTCTGTGGCTCAGCCAGCCGGGTCCTTGGTGTGTGTGTGTGTGCATGGGGGACAAGTGTCTTGGCATTCAAGAAGCGGGTCTTCAGGGGAAAGTGACAACTGCTAGTGGGTGGTGGGGCGGGGAGAGGGAACGGCAGTCTTCTTCTTCATGCACCTTGGAGGTTCTTGGTCCAGTGGGTTGTTTGCTCTAGATATTCAGTAAGCATGTAAACGTGCACTCAGATTGAAGGTGAAGCCAGGAATGTAGCTCTATTGGTAGGAGTGCTCGCCTGAATGAGTAAAGATCTGGATCCATTCCCAGCACCTACTAAACCAGGCATGGTGGTATAAGCCTTGGGAGGAGGGCCGGAGGATGAGTAGTTCCGGGTCATTCTTGGTGAGGATGAGGTCAGCCTGGGCTGCAAGACTAAAATAGCCCTGAGTGTAAATGAGTAATCAAAGTAAGACAACTATGCAAGCGGCCACCCTGTGGAAGTTTCCAGTAAGGGCTGGCAGTCTGGAGGAATCAGGGAACCCTCTGAGAAGAGGGGCCAGATGTCTCGTTCCTTTCCAACTTGAAAACACTCGGAACCTCTGTGAAAATCCTTATCAGACTGTTCGGCATGGAATTAAAGATTACACAGCTTAATTAGTTACCCAGATTCCAGTCTAGTCACGAAAGTCAGGCCAATGGTATTGCCAGTCAACATGGCCCCCGCTCTTCTGTGCTGTCAAGCCAGCCACGGGGTTTATTCTGTAGAACATCTCTGAGGTTAGAAGTGAGGACACAAATCTGGATCTGGTGAGTGACTGCCAGAGACTGGTTGTGTGTGTGTGTGTGTGTGTGTGTGTGTGTGTGTGTGTGTGTGTG